ACTTTTAAATTTTATTATTTACCTCTTTATCACACTTTTCATGTAATACTTAACATGTTACAAAATCAAAATTTTAATAGCATCACTTTTTTTTTTTTTTAACCAAGGAAGGAGGGTGGAAGGAGGCGAGGAGTAAAGCTATATTGGCACTATATTCTTATCTTATAAATGAGAACTAAGAATCTGGGGAGTTTTCCTTAAAGTCACTGGCCAGATGATTGTGTTCTAAGAATTAGGAAACTTGTCTTCTAGTTCTGACTCTCTCCTTAACTCAGACCCTTATCTGTAAAATGGGATAAGGGGAGCCTGTGCTCTAGTCCTCATAGGAAAGTTAGGAAGAAAAAAATGCCATAATAAATTTAAATGCACTTTGGAATACAGAAAGGGTGCACAGAATGTTCTGTATTCTTTGCACTGCGTGTCTGAGAAATTTATTCATTTATTCAGCAAACACCTGAGATGCTGCTGCCACTAGGCCCTCGTTAGACCTCCATTCACATGCCATAGACACATGGTCAATGTCATCCATCGTCCATCCTGTCCCCCAGTTCACAGGGAGAATGACCTCCTGACTACCACAGTTAACAGAACTCTCAGTGACCACAGTGAATATTAGACATTCTCCTGGGCTGAACCTTTGCAAAGTGGGAAAAATGCTCTGAAATCACTCCCACAAGTATCTGTCTTATTTTGTTCTCGAATACTCCCAGTGACACAAACCTCAGACACTTTACTTCCTGTGTTAATGAATGCCAGTGCCTAATCATTGTACAAGCAGATGTTCCTTAGGAAAAACAAATAAAATTAAGGCTATCTTTAGGTTAGCAGACACCCCCACTCTTGGCTGAGTAGACAAATAAGCAATGCCTTTTACCTTGTTTTTTCTCTCTCATCAGAGATGGCAAAGCTTACTATCCTGTGGAAAGCCCAAACTCCCTCCTCTTCCTTGTTTTTAACAACACCCAAGGAGATTTTGGATGGTCCTGAGATACGAGAGTAGTGGGAAGTTCTCTTAATTGTCTCGACAACACTGATCAATTATTTTTCCTGGAGGAGACACACCTCACTTTTAATCTCCCTGATCCCTTAAAAAAGTTACTTTCTCCTGTGCTAAGAATGAGTAGCATCCTGAAGAACAGGTAGGCTGATGCAACTAAAGAGTAACCAGCGAATTGTGGACTGGGCACTAGCTTCACCAGACAGAACTAGGTCCCTTGCCCTTCCTCCTGGGTACTTGGCAAACACCCAGAGTTTTCTGTAGAGGGATGGATGTGGGAGGAAGACCACAAGGAAGTCATAAATGGATGCCAAGTCATAATGAATAAGAGTTTTTCTGTGCACTCCCAGGAGATTTGAGCCATGAGAGGCATTCATTGGTTCAGCACCAGGAAGTGCTTGCTAAGAAAGCTTTGTAAAAGGCAAATGGACTGGGACTAGGGGCTTGGGGGTCAGGGGGAGATGTTCAAATAAATTCACTCTCACTAGTGCTTGACTCTTGGCAAGGATGTGCACAGGACTGCCCTCTATGGCCCCATCAGCCCTGTGAATCTGTGAGGCTGTAGGTGAGCAAAGAGAGCTAGTAGAGCCATTCTATCCATATTCACCCCTTTACCCCAAAGCCAGGAACTCCACTATTTGTCTCCAAAACATTCTATCCTAGAACTGAGAAGGTACGAATAACTTTGGAAAGTGCTTTCTGAAAGTCCACTATAGGAAAGTTCCCTGGCTAGACCCAACTGAACAAAATAACCATCACCCAAAAGATGCTGATACTACAGATTTATTTTTATCCGTTTTCATTTGGTGTAATTTCCAGCGAGCAGAGAGGGAAGTCCTCTCTAAGGGACTCTTGATATTTCTGAAGATATGGATTCTTTTTACCACCATGGTAACTCAGTTGTCCATTTGAAAATTAAAGCATAGTCATTATTATTTTCAGTCATGGTAACCTTATTTCTTCTGAGCTTTCTAAACTAAGTCAGGAAGGAAACCAATTCTCCTTTCATTTGAGAATATTTGAAGTCATTTATACTAATAATTTATGGTTTTAAGGCATGAATTAGTTAAGCTGAACCTGGAGAAGAAGCCTATCCTGTCTAATAAAGAGGGAATATGCTAATTGACCCTCACACTGTCGCAAAGATGGTGGCGCCCACAAGGAGGGAATATGCTAATTGACTGCCCCGCTCTCAAAGATGGTGGCACCCACAGCCAATAAGGAAGAATATGCTAATTGACTGCCCCACCCTCAAAGATGGTGGCACCCACAGCCATAAGGTGGCGGCACCCAGTTCCCTCAGCCCCACCAGGTTGCCTGCCTCTGCAGTCTCTCTGTCTCCTCAATCCCCCAGCCACCCAGGGCCGGCCCGAGGTGCAGGCAAGCTTTGGATGGCAGCTGCCCAGCTACCCAGGGCCACCCAAGGCTCAGGTAATCAGGGCTGGCTGAGGCTTGTGCTGCCGGCAATGGCAGCAGCAGAGGTGTGATGGGGCGTCACCTTTCCCTGATCACTAGGTCACCTCCCCCCCTTGAGGGCTCCTAGACTGTAAGAGGGGGCAGGCCGGGCTGAGGGACCCCCCTTCCAGTGCATGAATCTTTATGCACCAGGCCTCTAGTATTAGATAGTTTAGATATAAGTAATCAAGGCTTGGGAGAGTTAAGATGACTTGTCTATGTTTATACCTCTGGTTTCTAAGCATCAGTATACCATAACTACCTGCCTAATTTCTTGACCTCTTAAGCTCCTTAACATCCATCCATCTTTCATTCATCCACTCATCATTCAAAAATGTTTGAGTACCACCTATGTGTCATGACAGGAGTTATCTTAAGGAAACAAAGACACTAAAATCTCTGCTTGTATAAAACTTACATACTATTTTTTAGGAAATGGCCAACAAAAATCTATCTATATCTATATCTATATCTATATCATCTATATCTATATCTATATCTATATCTATATCTATATCTATATCTATATCTATATCTATAAGCCTAAGCAACTGTCTGACTGTCCGACCATTCGACCAGTAGCTATAATGCGCAATGACTACCAGGGGGCAGACACTCAATGCAGGAACTGCCGAGCTGTGGTAACTTGGCAGCTGTGGTTCACTGGTGATGCACCCAGAACCAGAGAGGAGGAAGCCCAATTCCAGGGTGCATCACCTGAGAGCCTCCCTCTTGAACTCCAGGACCTCTCAGGGGATGTCAGGAAGCCAGTTTTGACCCGGTCCCCACAGGCCAGGCCGAGGGACCCCACCGGTGCATGAATCCATGCACAGCGCTTCTAGTTAATAAATAAAAATTACAATATTGTCATGCAAACACATGCAAATGGCTAGCTAGTATATATAGCAGACCTGTTGGGACATCATGATTTGGGGTAAGACTCATGGTGACAGAATCAGTAACTGGTATGTGTGTTCCTAGTTCAGTTGTCCATCACTCTCTGGAATTGCACATAGCAATCTGGTAGGACTGAATTTAGACAAGAGGGATCCTGACTTTGGGGTTTGGGGGCTTTTCATTACATGATTAAGTAAGTCCTGGCCCCTCCCCTTCAGTGATCTAGGGCATGGCAGGACTTAACTCCAGTGTATCCTGCCAGCTCAGTTTTCATGGTCACAGGCTGGGTCCAAGCTTTGTGGTTGCTCTCTATGTTATAGCAATTTAGCAGCAGGATGATCCTTATCAGAACTTATGCTTAGAGAATCTGCAGCTGCTCTGGCATAATGGGGAGTTAAAGTCCCAGCCTTTTAATTTGATGGGGACTGCTTGATTGATTGCCTTAACCACTGGGCTATAATCGGTTTCCATGGAGCTTTCTTTGTAGGAAACGTTTTCTGTGAGAACATGTAGTTCACTTTTGAACTCCTTGGATACTGATGATCTGCTCTTCAAAACTATCTAGTGCTCTATCTCTCATTCTTGTACTAAAGTTCTACGCCCTTCTCTGTCTGGCCCATTCTCTGCTGAGTCAAGTCCTAGGTCTAGAACCAGGTAATTCTATTTGGATGATTGAAACTCTGGGGCCAAGACTTAAGGTCCCTAGAACAATATTTCTCTACCCCAGCTGTGCATTAAAAATACCTAGATAATTTCTCCCCCGCCCCCCCCAAATGCCTATGCATCATCCCACCTCAGGCTAATAGAAACAAATTCTTTCAGGCTACGGCTTTGGCTTCTACATTTTTCAAAGTTCTCCAAGTGATTCTGATACACATGAAAAGCTGAGTAGAACGGCTCTAATATTTATCTTGCCAGAAAAATAAGACCATGTGAAGAGAACCCTCAGCTCAAATCCGGAAAGAAGGCTTGAACAGTAAATCGGAAACCCATATTTTCTGAGTATCAGTGAGACTTGGGATTCTTCGGTTACTCTAAGAAAGAGGCACACCCAGGAATTGTTGAGATCGATTTTATCGATGAAGGATGTAGACTTAAACAGCATGATTTAAAGAAAATGAATAAAGTGGCATTTTATACACTTGGGTTGGTATCTAAAAATCCGTATCTATCATAGGAAAAACAGTTATAGCCATCCATAGGGAGGTTGTTATATTGTCTGCGCGGCAATTGACTTTAAATCCCTTGGTGGGTTTCTCAGGTCTGATCTCTTAGAAATTATGATGATTCCATCTTCTCACTCCGTGCTATATAACATGGTAGCCATGAGCCACATATGGCTACTTAAATTAAAATTAAATAAAATTTAAAATTCAGTTATTTAGTGACACTGACCACATTTCAAATACCAACTGGACACATGTGGTCAGTTACTTAAGATATAAGTTGAAAGTGTCAGGTTAGGGAGGGCTTAGGGAATTGGTGCTGAAGACTACTTACTCTCTTTACCGTCCACTAATGAACACTGCAGGCATCTACAGTAATCATATCTAAAATATAGGCAGACAGATAGACAGACAGGAAAAGGGCATACCATGCCTTATGAAAATTCTATACATTTTTAAAGTAATCATGTCATTTTTAGTCTCTCTTTTGGAGGATGTTATTTATTGTTAAGACATCATTTTTATTAAATACACTGTAGTACAAGAGACTTTCCATGTCAGGTTGAGAGAAGGTGGTCACATGATTTACAAACAAAACTTTTTATTTTTAAACATTGATATTCTGGTGTCACTTTGAAATCAGCCAAGATGCAGTGGGTCTTAGTAAAGCAATGGACCTCAAAACAGATTGCAAAACAGGAACCAGTAATTATTAGCACAGAGACGTCACATTAAAAAGAAAATAAAGCAAATAAAGAGTTCCAAATACCAGGTCACAATTTAAGGGGCAATATATCTTCAGAGAGATATTGAAATGTGTGTGTGTATGTGTGTATATGTGTGTGTGTGTGTGTGTGTGTGTGTGTATGGCCCGGATATATACAAACATCTCTCCATGTACAGAAGCAAATGCAGAGAGTGTCCACATCTCTAGGCAGATTTGTAACTGACAGGTAATGATCAATGAAGGCAGGGAGCAATATTTTACCATAATTTGGTCATTTGTCAAGAGATTACATATTTAAAGTCCACATTTAATTCAAAGACCTTGCATTTAAAACATTTCCAGCAGTTTTATACATTTTTAAAGCAATAGTAAGATATACAAGCTGCAAGATGTAGGCTGTTACATTTCATTTTATGTTCTCCAGTTTTCATTTTCCAGTTCAACCGTGACTATTAGCAGCTTTTATTATGCTTGCTCCAGTATGTTCAACAGTCAGCCAATCTTCACTTGGGATCATTTTTATGAATGCACAGACCAAAGGAATAAAACAAACACAGACCTGGCCTAGAATGCATAGACTGAAAAAATGACATCCTATGTTTTCCCATTTCGTCTCCTGAGACGTATGGTAAGATGGCAAAATAGTTGCTTGGTTGTTGATGTGAAATTCACAGTGTTTTGCCTGCAACACATATACATATACATATATATATTTTTTGCTTTGCTTTGTGTTTGTGATAAATGGAGCAAAATAAATAAATAGATAGATAGATAGATAGATAAATAAATAAATAAATAAATAAATAAATAAATAAATAAGAAGAGAAAGGGGAAGCATCAGAACCTAAAGATATTGAATAACCTTTGACTCGAGAAGCAGTGATTCATTCCAGCCTTGACAACAAGAAAATACCCTTCATGTACTGTCATATTTAACTACAAATACCGCCCACCTCTAATTCTCTAGAATAACATTTGCTATATCAACCTGGGAGTCTCTGCATTCCACAATGACACATCGTAAAGAAACTGCTTTAACTGTTCACTTAGCCATCTGAGGAGTTAAATCACCAGCCATCCCTCTCGTGAAATTTTCGGAAACAGTGATGGAGGGCCAAATCAAAGGTCAAATATTGGAGATAAAAGTCCTCCATTGAAAGGGAAGAGAGAGAGAGAGACAGAGAGAGAGAGAGAGAGAGAGAGAGAGAGAACTGAGGGTGTGTATATGCAGTCATTTATCTAATTAGACACATAATTTAATGCTGTTGGTATTATAGAAGGTCCATTTTGCAAAAGGAAAGGATAGAAAAGATAGCCTACTTCTGACCAGGGGCTCCTTTCCTCATGGTTCTTTGCCAAGGACAGACTTGTGCCTTGTTGCTGCTTGTGCTCCCACCTGGATGTGGGAATCCCTCAGAGTTGCTCACCTCAGTGTGGGGTCTTGGACTTCTCCCCATTGGCCTTTGAAGCACTGGGCTCCCAACATTTCCACTCTCTCTGGAATGTCTGAACTCTGAACACAAGAAACAAAGGGGTCATAGTGGGACCAGATGAGCTAACACAAAGGAGCAAAAAAGATGAGAAAAAATCCATTTTCCTTTCTTGGACCTTTACAGAAGGAGATCTAGCTCAGTTCGCTTTTTCCTTTGCATGGAGCCAGAGAAAGGACTCAGTGTGGTGGGATGGCTTTGAGTCAGTTGGTTTGGGAAGCACATTGTCTTAACCAGGCTTTCCTCCCGTGAAGTACCGCACAGAGTTGAGAAGTGTGGTGTAGTCCTATCCACATGGAGAATGGAAGCACTAACAGCAACACGACGTTAAAGAGTTTTGGTTATATAGCAGATTTTAAGCAAATTATTCATACTGCACCCTACTTATAATTATCTCTATTACTGTGTGCCTATACATTTATACATAAGCACACAAACACACTATGTTTGCGTGCTTGTCTATGTATAAATCAAGTATTTATAACACATATAAATACATAAACATACCACAGGTAGTGCTGATGTAAACACATATGCATAATATGAATTCTGATATAATCCTTTATAGCATAGTTCAAAATATTTTCTAAATAAGCCTGATTATGACATTGGTTCAGTGTATAAGGATTGAGCTGAAGCTGTGAGCATGATTATATACCACTTTATCTCAGCTGCTTGTCATCTCATGTGTTTCATTTTGTTCTTCTAACTTCATATCCTGCTTCATGAATTTGTTAGTGTTCTTTCTTTCCTGGATTGGAGTCTCTGGTGGACTGAATCATGAACTTCAGAGTCAGAACATTTAGACTCAGTCCCAGTGGTGTCAGAAGCTAGCCTGCAGATTTCTAGCATGCCATTGAACTTCCCCGAGTCTTAATTTCCTCACCTATAAAAAAAAATGGGACTCATTTGCTAACATATGTGAAAACCATTTAGAAAACTAGGAAACAATTTATTAATGGGAATGACTGTCAGAGTTTGGGCTAGAGAATTAGGTCTGACACTACTCTTGTTGGGGCTTTTAATGAATGTGATGGCAGGCTACATTTTAGAGTGAGATTGCTCCTTTTCTAAAAGTGAGAAGAGCATGAGAAGAGGGGATTGTGGAGGACCAGTGTGGAACACCTGAAGATATTCTGTGCTTCATTCAGCTACTTTTAAAGCAATCTGGTATTCTTTCAATGCAAGACATTGCTGAAATCAGTACATACTCTTGAGACAACAGAGGGAAAAACAAGAAGCATATAAATAACTACAGAGCTTTGCACTTGCATAGAACCTTTCATTTCAAGACCTTGAGGGACTTGTCAAAAGGTAAGGAGAGGTGTGTATTTGTTTTTGCTTTTTTTTGCTTTTATTCCTCAGAGGAAAACAACACTGGAATGGAATGGGATGCTCCCATCTTCTCATGTGCCTTAAACAAATCCTCGCTCTAAAACTGCACAGCCTTCCTTGAATTTGATCCTTTAGAGCATTGCCTCTTTGCTCTCCATTAAAATAAGACAAATAAGTTGCAGCTTCTCCTCCCAGAGCAGCTGGCCAGTCCCGCAGAATGGCAAACCTGTGCAGGTTTTCAGGTCACCGCTGATGGAATCTAGAAAAGTTTTGTACAAATCTGCCCCTTTTTACTGCTTCACGGAGTGCCACAGTGTTTTAACAGTACCATGGGTCCTTAATAGGATATATACGTGCAGGTATATATCATGGAGATATGGCTTTCATTATATTATTATGTGTATTCTGGTGGGTTTTTTTTTCACTGACAAAGAGAAAAAACAACTCAACTCCACGATCTATAGGCCAGCGCAGAGCTTGAAGAGACTGTAAGGTTTGTCTTGTCCGACCCCCTTCACTTGACTGCAGATGCTAATGGATTTCCTTTTGTTCTCTGTGAATTGACTTTTTTTTTCTTAGAACTGGCTTTTTCAAACCCTATAATGAAAAATAAGGGTGTTCCAGTAATTAAGGGCACAAGCAAAACCTAAACAGAGCAATTGCACCTTCGGAAACAAATATGAAATAAAATGACTTAAGATGAATTAAAATCACTCCCTTTCAATCTGGCTCGTGTTATAAAGATGTCAAGTTAGCAAAATTCCCCTCACAGAGGGTATCAAGTTTTCTTGAGGAACAGAAATATTGTTCTTCCTTGGTGTAACTGATCACCCAAATAACTGTAAATTTCTATTTAAATTTACAACCTCATTTCACAAAACCTGTGATGGTGCCCAGAAGCACACCTCCAAAGCTTGGTCTGGGCATAACCTCCCGTTGGCATGCTGTGCCTAATTTTTTATTTTACTTCTTTAAATGGAGTGAAGGAAACAAAACAGCATACTGACAGTGGAGTACACTTGGAATGAAACCACTCTCCCAACCGGAGCCCCAGCGAGGACTGGCCTGCATACACTGAACACCAATGCATACAACGTGCCCGGAGATGAGGTGTCCTTTCTCTCGGGGACTGACTTAGCCCTTCCCACAGTCCCACAGTCTCACAGTGGGTTCGACGTGCATGAGGACATCCGGGTTTCAGGGTCCGTATTTGTTGAAACCCATCACCACCCTATGGCCCAGAGACATTTATACCCAGCTAATGAGTTCCATTAGCTTCCCCTCATTATGTAAGTTACACCTTTTATGAATCTGCTCTACATGGCAGGGGCACGACGTCTGGAGCAGTAGTTTCTGCATACAAGGTAGTAATCGACGAAGACCATGCACAATTTTGCTTGCACAGTTAAAAGGACAGGCAGGTGGCGGGTAGGGGTTGGAGGGAAGTGCTGTATGAAAAGTTTGATATAAGAGAAGCTTGCCTCCGAATGTAGAGCTCTTCCTATCTTTTCCAAGTCCTTGGCTTTTCTCCCCCACCCTGAAATGAGCTCTGGACAAGAGTCCACCTATTTTCAACAGAACTTGACAAAGGGTCATTTGATAACATTTGGAGAAACAAGCCCGTGCTATTACTGTGACCTACAAAGACAAGGATGTCTGAGTGTGGGAGGCGCCATCTCCTTTCTCACGGAGCCATCTTTTCTCTCTACTACACTCTAGAGTTTCTGCTGATGGGAATGGGTAGTCCATGTCACAGAGTTCAACAGTCTTTTCACTCATCAGAAAGGTCCTCAAAGGAAGGTGCCGAATACATTCCTCCAGCTAACAGCCGCTGGGCTTTTCCTAAGTAGGGACGGATCCCAATGGTTGTCTTTGTTCCTTCCATATTGCGGTTCATAATAAAATCTTCTCTCTCTCTGGTTTCAGTCTCCCATACTTAAAGGGCTTTCCAGATTGAACACAAGTTTTCCTTTTTCACACACGGGCTTAAGCCATCCAAAAACAATAAGAAATGTAATAATAATAAATAAATAGAAGTGAATCCATAGAAACTCTCGATGTCTGTACAGCAGAAATGACAAAGTTTAAGTCAAAATTTGTTTTCCCTTTTTTTCATCCACATCAAAGGCAGGAATACAACAAGGCATTGTTAGTTGTGGTGGGCAAACTGGAGTGTCTGCTGATATAACAAATTAGGTTTGTTAAGGCCTTTGTCTATGCAGAGTTAAGAGTAATGCAGAAGCCAGATCGATTAGAAAAGAAAGGTAGGACTGTGAAGCAGGGAAGACAAAAAAGTCAATACAAAACAAAAACTAGGGAACAAACCAAGGGAGATGGAAAGAGAGAAAGAGATAATGCCAAAAAGAAGTCCATACTGTGTCTACCGATGGAGAAGTACACATTGCTTCCCTCTGAAAGCTTCATAGTGTCTTTGTTGTTAATACTGTCAGAGTAGAGAACAGCAGATTGATGGCATCCAGCAGCAGTGAAAAGACGTTCATCCTCTCAGCCCATCTGAGGAGGTGCTTTGGGAAGGATCGGTCTGGGGGAAAGAGCCCTAGCCTAGAATATCCAGGTAGACCGGAGATGCCTTGGCCAAGTTCTGAAGGAGGGTGTGGATGCCCTTGATGTTCTTCCTCATGTGGGGTTCTCGCTGCCAGCACCCCAGCATCAACTCGTAGACCTCCTGCGGGCATGTTCGAGGTCTCTGCAAGACTCGGCCCTGAGTGATGCATTCTATCACCTGGACAGAGAGCAAAGATAGGATCAGAAGAGAAACAATATAGGGGAAATAATACAGGTGAAATAAATGTCAGTGCAAAGAGAGGGCTGCTTTAAAGAAACCCATTCAATGTTACTTCTTTTCAGAAAGAAGAGAGCAATTATTATAGATTAGTATATTGTGTTTAATTGGATCACATCCATTTTTCAAGCACATCGATCTCACCAAACTGGTGGAGAAATGATTTATCTATATGGAATGATCCCAAACCTCATCCTAGAATTCCAGGTTTACTGGCCTGAGATGGAACCTAGGCCACTTTCATGTCAGGGTGCTGACTGATGAGAGATCCTCAGGCTGTAGAAATGAGTGGTCATTTTGGATAACAAATTTGGGTAAAAGACAGACTTGAGCCTGAAGATGTTAGGTGCCTAACCAAAAAGCTATGCCTCAAATATAGGCATATTTGCAAAAGGATTAGAATAGGGAAACAAATTGCTTGAGTTTTCACTAGAAGTGCGTGGTCTAGTGAAATGTGCAAGAAGGAAAGAACCTTGAAACCTTCCTGGAATAATATGCAAAAGCTAACTGGACTCTCAGGGTGCTGGAATGTCACATCGGCTATTAATTTGCTAGGTGAGCAGCACATAGCGATTCTTCATCACAGAGGATGCCAAGTATGTCAGTAAACACTGTGATTTTCTTATGTTTCCAGAGTGACTATACTTCAGCCATGACCTTCAGCCATACAGCAAGCCATTTGGGAGGTGCTGCACCCAACAAAGCCACATAAGGCCTTGTCCTGTGTCCTAACTTTTGGCCAATGGGTGCCTCTCAGTGTTAGCCCCTTCGGAGGGTCTCACCCAGCCCACTGCGCACCTCGTTGTTGGACAGCTGGTACCAGGGCTGTTTGCCATACGTGAAGATCTCCCACAACACCACCCCCAGGCTCCAGACGTCACTTTCTGTGGTAAACTTCCTGTACATGATGCTCTCTGGAGGCATCCAGCGGATGGGCAGCATCGTGTGGCCACCAACCTGGGGGGAAAGGGGTGAACAAGGAGGCATGAGTCATCTCCACACAACATTCCCACTATGAGAGGAAAAGGTGCTTGAATTTATTGATTTAATTGATTATAAACACATAAGGAAAATAAGATTTATTTATAATCCCAATCACCAGAGTCAGAGAGCAAAGAATGGTCAACAAAATTTTTTCATATTATTTGCAATTGTCTCTCAGAACTAAATAGGGGCAGAGATGATGGTTGGGTGGATATTCATTTGGATAGACACACACATGTATATCCTGGTTTGAGGATGACTCAACCTTCTAATCAACAAGATAACTTTGATGAGGATAACAAGTATGGAGCTCTTCATTCAAAAATGACCCACCAAATGACGCTACTTCCTTAGCAAGGCCAGAGCTTCCTTCCAATTTAAGATGTTAGGACAGTGCACAGTGCTTCCTTAAACAACTTCCCCACAACCCAGCAATAAACAAGGCAGAAATTATTCCCATTTTACAGATGAGGCAACTGAGATTCAGGTTGCTATAGACACAAAGAAGTTAGGTATTTGGACTCCAAGATCAGGACTTTTTCTATGACAAGGTACTGCAACTGAGCTTATTTACAAAAATAAATAAGTAACTATGGTTTTGAAAAGCTCATTTTTAGTAAAAACATAGAGGGTGAGGCATTAGATGGCAAAAGCATTAGCACAGGCAGAGAACATTGTCTGACAAAGGAGACTCATTCATGATTTCCTACTTCCTGGAGAAAAGTGAAGTATTCCATTTTCATATTTGTAGCCCATTAGGGCTGTCTCATTTTAAAACTGTGATAAGATTTCTAGACAGTGGCCCTATGGGTGGTAGGTCCTACTTTTCATGCTGGTAAACCCCAGCACAACCAGCCCAAATGCCATGCCTGACCTGGGGCAGCAAGCAGGCTCACCGACAACTGAATCAGACCTCACTGACAACTCTCAGCCCCTGGGTTCTAAGACTAATGCCACATAGAGTTTCTGCCCAATTATCATTCTCAATATCCATTTCTGACCCATTAAAGGAAGGAAATGGACTAACAGTGCCTGAAAAATGCTGCTCAACTCCAGAGCCCAAGGAGCTGAGAGGGTCAGAGATGTCTAATTTGCTTGGTGATTTCAAATAGTGCTCTTGGCACCAAAGAAAGCACAAATGTGAAAGGAGGAGGGTGTTATTATTGTTTTTTTCTGTGCAATGACTCCAAATACAACAAGTAGGAATTTAACTTGCTGAGTCTGGGTTAGGGTGTTCCCAAATCCTTACTATTCAGCTTTGAATACACCAAAAAGTCCTACACTAAGTAAAGGCTGGTTGCCCTCCTCAACTTTTGATTTTCTCACTTGCTTCTTACCCTTGCAGTGATAGGTAGTCACTGTTCAATGAGCACAGATTTCCCTCATGAAACTGCCTGGACATGTATTACTCACCATCAGGATTGATAGTCAAAACACAACCTGTATGACACAAGCACTGACTGATCAGTAAGGATGCTAGTGGTTAACTAGTTTGAAGGTAGGTTTGCAGAGAAGAAGTAGAGAGATAGAGAACCATTTACGTATATCTCCTAGAACCAGACAGCTGAAAAACACACTCTGGGGTCCATTAATCTAGCAAGATACCAGACTTACCATATTCCTTGTGGATGCCCGGCTGCAATGCAGTGGACAACACTGAATTCATGACATTAGAAACGCTGGGGTACAGGGCACACTCCAATGTGCCATTTCCTAGTTAGGTAACCTTAACTAGCTGCCAAACCTCTCTGTGCCCTGATTTCTCCAAATATAAAATGTGAGTAACAATGAATAACTTCTAGGGTTATCATGAGGTTAATACCTAAGCAGACAATATAAATTTCAATGCACTAAATACTTTCAAGGTGTTTCTTCCTTCTCTGTAATTTTACTGTCTGATTTCCTTAAAATGGGAAGCAGCCATTCTTAAGACATTAAGGAGAGTCAACACATACATCCTCCCATACTCCTCACCCAATGACAAGTGCTTTGGGGCTCTTGGGACTCCAGCACCTACTCTATCAGGTTTTTGGTCCTGTATTGCTAATGGCCAAATAAAAAGCTCCTGTTTCCTTTAAAGGAGAAAAAACAAGGTTTTAAATTTTGATTTACATGTTTTCCCATCTGATCATTTATTTTATGCTTGGACAGATTTTTCATTTTAATTCTTTCAAGAATCCCTTCTGGGATTTCACACATGCTGTTATAAATAATGCTTTCCTTGTACTGATGTCAAACGGGTGAGTGTGGGAGAATCTAATAAAAGTTCAGATAGGGTTCACAAGTTTTCTAAACCCATTTAGAACATTTCTGAACATTTCTTTTGCAGCCCTTTCTCAGCATTTTGGAGCATGTCATACACACACACACACACACACACACACACACACGGAATCACTGTGTTACAAATTACCGTCACAGGATGGCTTTTGGAATCTCACAAAACCACATACTGTGCAGTGACAAACACAATGAGACATTTGTTTTGTATTGTGCTACTTGGCGACTTGCCCTCACACCCTTGCTTAAATATTTGTGACATGGAATACAATCTCAAGTATGACACTGGGAGTCAGAACTGTTGCTTTGACTGCCGGATATGCCTCGGTGCCTGAAGAGACTTTCCAGGGATCCATGTGGGTCAAGCCATGTGGCTTTCCCTAAACTCACCAGATAGAACTGAACAAATGGGAAACCCAGTTAGCTGGGAGTTGATGTGGACTTATAATTTTTATTTTCCTCATCCCCAGAGATTGGGGTTCTAGTTCTATAATTCCTACCACCACTTCACCACCATAATCATCCATCAACACTTATAACCTCACCTTTACAAAGAATTTTACTCAGTTATCTCATTTGAACTCAATAGTTACCATTTGGGGTGGACACTGGCTTGCCTTCGTATTACAAACCATGTCCCCAAAGTTCAAAGAATTAAGTAGCTTACCTAGAGCCAAACACATAATGCCTCCCCCCTGATGCCTCTCATTCTGATGGGTCACTCGTGTTTCCAGCTTCTGCAGTCTCCAACAACTGCCCTGTGTGTTTAGCCAACAAGCTTATTTGTGGCTCCTTAACTAAGCTGACATGACTCAAGTCTGTTGGAAATTTTGATCTTTCCTTTCTAACTACTTCCTGAAGATCTTAAAGGTAAGCTCAGGTTCCAGCATTTCAAGGAACTCTCTGTCCCTGCTATAGCACTGTACCTTTTCTAAGTACCAGGATGCCCAGTGCCCCTTAGTACAGCTCTGGTAACACTGTAGGCCAGGCACTCCATGTTTTTGGTAACAGATCGCGTGCCTCAAGAAAGGTGGATGCTAATCAGTTATGTCTGACAGGGCATTAGGGGTTTGGCTGGTATGCATATCATGTCTTCAAGTGGGTTTCTTGTGAGTACTAGTATTTTGGAAGGAAATCTCCAAGTGTGCTTTCAAAGAGATCAGCATTTGCTACTTTCCTTACATCCTCCAATAAATTCTCTAAACTGTTGATAGAACCAAGTCTTAGATTAAATGGTTGGAAACTGGTTCACCTATTTGACACTTCAAATAAAAACCATTCAATGAAATTTGCAACTTCTTAATAAAATGCAACAAAAAATATGGGGTTTCATATGGAGTATAAAAGCTAATGTGTATGAGAATCCCACTCATCAGTTTGCCATCTGTAGAATAGATGGGAATGGGAATGGGGTTGGGGGTGGTCTATGGCAGACCTGAACTATTCAATCTGGGAATGAAGTCTAAAAGGATTTCATAATGCACAACATGAAGGGAGTATTGTTCTACAGATGATGACGAACATGTCATATCTTAGGAGGCTGGGGACCAAGGACAAAGGCTTAAGAAGAAAGGCTGGAGCCTTTCTATAGGCTCAAGGAAAAGAAAAGGGCTGAATGACCATCATGGCTGCTAATCATTGCAACATGGTGAAACCAGCAAGGCTAACCAGTACAATGTCTGAGGCCCATGGCCAAAAAGAAATCCTATAGTGACTAAAATAAATTAAATTACAGAAAATGAGTTCTGTTTTTAAACATATCAAGAAAAGAACTGTTCATTTAGCTTTTCATGTGATTTCTACGACACCTCACAATTTTGATGGTGATATGTTTTGGTCAAACACAAAAATAACAACTTGTTCTAGTTAAAATACCTGGGCGTTGGCATCTTTTAAATCTACCAGAATGAAAGGAACTTAACACAATAATTTCTGGAGAGAATATTAAAAAGCCCTTGGTAAAACTGTCCTGTGTTAGAAATCAATGATTTTATTATTTTTAAATCAAATTAGACACATCTAATCACTTCAACTGCAATGTCTATTCCTTACCCAAGAAATACTCTTTGGGTGCATGCTTTTTCGTCATTAGGTTATAAGTTGTGAAAAATCTCCCCGTCACTTAACAAACAATATGATTTATATTTTCTATATTGGAAAACTAGGATTTAGTGAAATCAAAGACCTAGCTAAGGAAGTATAGCTATGAATTGATGACCAGCAGTACTGAAGACAGCTCTCTATCCTACCACTATTCATGCTGAGAACCTAGGCTCTTTCTCATTTTTAAAAAATATTATTTTATTGATTTCAGAGAGGAAGGGAGAGGAAGAGAGAGATAGAAACATTGATGAAAGAGCCACATCGATCAGCTGCCTCTTGCATGCTCCCTACTGGGGATTGAACCTGCAACCCTCTTGGTACATGGGATGATGCTCAATCCATTGAGCCACACCAGCCAGGCTCTTTCTCATTTTTTACAAATATACAAAACATCTTTTTTTTTTTTTCTGGTACAAGTTAACAAAGAAGGCACAATTCATTTTCCAGGTGCACTGGGAGATGACAGAGGAGGTGACAAGCTTAGTTCTCCTCTTTCTGTTGGGCTTCACAAAAATTGCATCTACCATGCTCCTTGCTCCCTCAACATCTTCTCTTTTTCTACTACATCCTTTCTTCTCAGAGTTGCCTCC